ATATCTAAGCTAGGGATAGCTGGAGCTTGCTGGAAATAGCTGGAGATGAAATATCTTCAAAAAATCTGACTTTGGGTCACTCTTGGCCGATCGGCCATCTTTTGTGCCGATCTGCCACTTATCTGCTACTTTTTTGGCCGATCGGCCAACAAAATCTGCTTTTTAGGCCCAACTTCAAATGGGCATAACCCCTTCATATGAACTCCTTTTCAGGTCATTCTTGTGTCCATATTGAAGCCCCAGAAGTAAGCTTTCCAATGGTGGAAGCCTTGTATCAAAATTTCAATTGTAGAAAAAGTTATGTCTCTTTTAGTGAAGCTGCTCAGTTTCTGTCCGACCGGAATGATGCCCAACTTCAACCAACCATATCTCCCCCATCCGGACTCAGCTTTAGGAGATTCTCGAGTGAAAAATGAAGCCCTGGAAGTCTTATTTCCAACGGTGGTGACATCATAGTTCATCTCCAAGTACGTAGACAGATAGACCTGATTTAGTGAGGACCGCTCGACTTTCTCTTAACGGTTCATGCCCATCTTCTTCCTCAACTAGGTTTCTTCCCTCTTCTCCTCTTTTCTTCTACTCCAAACCCCTAAACAAGGTGCTTTGAAATATTTTTCAAAGTTTTCATCTCTATTTCATTCATTCCCACTTTGTCCTTGCTCGGTTTACCGAAAAGCGCAACATTTTACAAAATGCGAGCCTCGGAACATCGTAAGAACTTTATTTCAAAAATATTTTGAAAGAGAGGGTTTTAAGGTCTAAAAACCATTCAAAATAGCTTTGGTCCAAAATGGGGTGTGAGGTTAGGATTTGACTCTCCTCTTGCCGAAGAAATCGAACATTTGCCCTGCACATCTTTCATCACCAAGTAAACCATCAGTAGCGCCCAAATCTTAAGGGGGGTCAAAAATGGGGTGTCTACACATGCACAATGCAATGCAACATCAAGCACGCAAACATGCAATGCAACTCAAGTATGCAAACATGCAATACAATAAAACAAGCATGCAAGGGACAAGCATGCAAACAACATGCAAGGGACAAATATGCTAATCATAATGCAATGCAACACAAGCATGCAAACATGATGTAATGTAACAACATAAGCATGCACACAACATGCAAACAAACATGCTAAATGGACTTAAACCAAGTGTGGACAGACCTCAGCCATGCCCAAATCAGTGGCCATAATAATGAAACTAAGGCATGAAGATCAAGACAAGCATGCTCAATGCAATGGCCCATTGACTAGGCATAAGAGCACAACTCTCAAGAGTGCTCAAGGAGTGACAAATATGGAAGTGTAACAACACTAAATGCATTGAAATTAGGTAAGAAATGATGCCAAATCATTCAAACAATCCAAGCAAAGCATGCAAGGGTCCTTATGCATTAAGGCTAACAAAGAGGACTACAAAGGGGGCATGCAATACATGGCACAAATGCATGAACCAAGCATGGACAGAGCTCAAATAGGTCTAAACAAAGACCAAAACATGCTAAGATGGGAGCTCAAAAGTCTAGGCATACAAGCATACAAGTTAGGCCATAAGCTAGGCAACAATGCATAACCCTTGGAGGCACTCAAAGGGTGGAAGAAATGGGAATATGGCAATGCTACATGCTCTGAAATATCATGATAAATGATGCCAAATCATGTACATGATGCAAATGAAGCATGTTATGGTGCTCAAAGACCCAAAGCTAGCATAGGCATTTGTACTATAGCTATGCAATACATGAAGCATATGGCTAAGGCAACCCAAAACAGTCCTAGAACATGTCAAAATGATGCCAAAACATATATGGAAGGAAGCCAAAACAAGCTAGCATTAAGGGCATAAGGCATGATGCATACAAGGCCAAAGGGGAGGGTTACACTATACCTACCAAGACCAAGCATGGGATGGCTTTGCTAACAAAAATCAGAGTTATATCATGGCAAAATAATCCCAAAAACACACTGAAATGATAGCTCGCAAGCTTAGGCATGAAGGCATACACAATGGCTCATGTTTAAGGCATAAAGGACCAACCCTTCAAAGGATGGAAGAGTGACAAATGCAAGTGTATGACCACACTACATGGACTAAAATCTCGTAACAAATGATGTCAAATCATGAAAATAGTCCAAGTATTGCATGCTAGTGGACTTGATACACAAAGCTAACAAGCTAGAATGCATTATAGCTATACAAAGCATGGCATGCATGATCAAAACAACACAATTTAGAGCCAGATCATGCTAAAATATGGACAAAAGCTTCTTGAAGTTAAGCCAAAATCATGCTAGAATGATGGTCTAAAGCATGATACACATTAGGCTAGTAAATGGAAATGCATTACAAGTGCATGGAGCATGCATGGGGCTATCAAACCAAACCTTAATAGAGGTATATCATGGCAAAACAACACCAAGAACATGCTGAGATGGACTCAAAACAAGCTAGAAAGGCATGCTACTTCATGAAGCATACAAGACTAGTTTGTAAAATTTACACTACAAGTGTATGTAGCATGCATGGGGTGACCAAACCAAGTCAAAACAGTGGCATGCCATATCAAAATAACCCCAAATACAAGTCAAGATGGAGTCAACATAAGCTTAACAAACATGCTCAATAATGAGGCAAATGAAGCTAGCATACAAGACACAAGGAGAGGGGATGACCCTCTCCTATTTGGGACCTCAAAACACTATTTCCACCACTGAAATTCCTCTGAGTTTCAGTGGTGAGAAGGCCAAAACAAGGTGATCCCAATAGCTTAAAAAGATGGCACAAGAACAAGGCCAAACAAGGCCTAAGAGGGGGTAGACCACCCCCAACACAAAAGTGACCATAAACAAACATGTTAAGGACTGAAAAATAGAACTTTTTGTAGTTTAAAGTTAGGTCTAAAACAACATGCAAGTAGGTCCAAAAGCTTAAACAAAAATAAGGGTTTTAAGGTTTAGTTTCTCACCCTTGTAGAACCACTTCAAAACTACAACTCCAGCAACTTTTCTGAGGTTAAACCAGTCCAAGAACTCTAAAACCAACTTCAAGAAGCCTCAGCAACAAAAGGATGGTGTTTGTGTGTGTTTGTGTGCAATAGTATGAAGAATAGTCACTTTTGAGCACGAAAATAAAGTGAAATGAAGAAGTATATATATAGAAGTGTATGTATCAATATTGGAAATGAGGCAATTAATGGCGTTTAATTAACGACGTTTTATTAAACGTCACATTTGCTAATTTTTAACGGCGTTTTGCAACCATCGCATATTTTTTAAAACCAAAATGGCACCGTTTCTAATTGAAGGTGTTTAAAAGCGCCTCCAAATGCTGTAGGTACACGCGCCCCTTTATGAAACCCTTATTTTTTAATTTGAGTGAAAATTTCACGCACATCTCTCTCTCTCTCTCTCTCTCTCTCAGCGACGAAGAAGACGGAGGAGAGCAATTGGCTATTCTTGAAGCTTGAATATATAACACTGAGTCTTAGCTTGAATACACACATATCTCTCTCTCTCTCTCTCTCTCTCTCTCTCTCAATCCTTATACGCACACATTTCTTCATTGAAGCTCCATCTGCACCTGCGATTTCGAAGATTCAGAGCGATTTCGAAGCGATTTCGAAGATTCAGATCAATTTCGAGATTCAGAGCGATTTGGAAGTTCCGCCGCCACCGTCATCTGCACTGGTGAGGTAGCGAGCTCCACCATCTCTCTCTTTCTCTCTAGATCTATGAAAACAATGTTTTGAAGGCATTCTTACTTGAACCTCATTTGCAGAGATTCAGAGAAAGGCATTCTGACTTGATCCTCATTTACTGAACTTTAATCGATACTCTCTCTCTCTCTCTCTCTCTCTCTCTCTCTCTCTCTATTTCTTTTGAATTTTACTACATGTATAACATTTGTATACGTCAATATGTGTGTTTGTTGAATTGTTGAATTGATCTGTTAGGTTCTTTTTTGAACTGAAAGAAACTTCTACACTAATTTTCATACGACAATTTGGATAAATAGGACACAATATTGGGCCAAAAAAGATGATAGTTCAACAAAAATTTAACCGTAATTGTGAATCAATATTCTGGAAATAAATATTAGATCACTGAGCTACAAAACAAACATTTGTTTGCCTGTGTTCATGTAATTACCTATATATTCACCATTTACAAATGCAACCATTGGTGGCCAAGGTTTGCAATTTGTAGGACTGGGTTAATATCAGAACGCATTGGTAAGTCATGGCAATCAAAACGTATACTGCAAGATGAATTCAAAAAACATGTCAGATCTGTGGAAAGTTTAGAAAGAAAATTGTGAAAGTTAAGTAAAATAGGATTACCTAGTGTTGTACCAAGCATAGTCTGAGGTATCTTTACTCAAGCTATAGAGCTCCAATGGAGACTTGCTTTTTAGTGCTGCTGGAATGGCTCCTCAGCGCCATCGATCATCCTCGGCTACTCTGTTTGGAAGGATGACACAGGTATTTTAAAGTTCCCATTTGAATTTCCATGTTCTATCATCAAACAAAGTTTTAGTCCTTTCGTTAGTTCATGTGTTTGCTATTATTTTTATTTACAGAGTTTCCGAGGAACTCCGCAAGGAGTTAATCTTTCCTTTGTAAATGGTGGCCTGACTGGTGGAGCAGAAACTTTACACCAAGTTGAAGCCAAATACCCAGCTTTGCTTTTCAAGCAGTAACTTACAGCATTTGTAGAAAAGATTTATGGATTGATTTGAGATAACCTTAAGAAAGAGATTTCTCCATTGCTTGGGTTGTGCATCCAGGTAATTGAATCTATTCGATTCTTAAATTACCAGTCACAATTTATTGTAAAAAGAGGAATGAAATTCTTTATTCTATGGGTTATTTTATTAATTTACTTGGTAAATTCTTTCTGTATAAAATTTCTTTCAGAATATGAAAAAATAGGCACCAAGAACTATTAAGGAGAGAATGTTGTTCATTCAGTAACGGTGAATATGTTAAAGCAAGACTCACTGAACTCGAAGATTGGTGTTATAATGCAACAGATGAGGTAGCATTAGCATTGATTTATTACCACTTCACTTTGTGTTGTATAATTTCTATTTTAGTAAGCAAAAACATATTGCAGTATGCAGGTTCAGCTCGGGATGAGCTCAAGCATATCAGACAGGCTATAGGGTTTTTGGTATACCCTTCCTTTCATTGTTCATCTTGGACTATTCTCTTTCACCATTAGTCATTCTAAACTTTGAAATGGAAGAATCCCACCTGAAAGGAAACAGAATTCCATAAACCACTACACATGAGATATTAGCATCTCTATAAGGGATGGAGTGCTTTTCATTAACTCTTTTGATGACATGAAAACTAATAATTTTCTACATCAATTGGCAATCTTCTTTTAAACTTACTTGAACCAAATATGAGAGGTTCCAATTTCCACTCTATTCACTACACCAAAAGAATGTAGGATTCCACCATCAATTCAATATGTAGGAATATTACCAATCTAAGACTTCAATAAGCATATATGCCAACAATTTATGATTATTTGAGATCTTCAAAACATAAAATTCTTTCTGGCAACAAGTTTTAAGTACTGTTGATAAGTATTGGGTACAAATTCTTTAATTTGTGTTTATTTTGGTGAATCTGACTGCAGTTTATGTTCTGTAGTTATTCAGTTTTTCCTATAATCCCACCAACTTCCTATCAAGGAATTTCCTTTTGCACTCAATAACTATATTTGTGGAAAGTCTTTTATCTGCTTGCCTTAGCATTCCTGGTTCTCAATCTTTTTGTTGTCATTGTTGATAGATTCAAGGATTATATCCCTGCAAAGTATCATTCCTTATATGAGCAGTACCTTAAAAGAAGTGACAACGCAGTCGCCATGTGAAGTAAGAAATTCTTCCATGTAAAGTATTTATATAAACCAAACCAAACCAAACTAAGCCTTAAGTCCCATATCTTTTTTGTCCTTAGCAGTACCTTGTTGAAATAGAAAAAAATGTTAGCTATATACTTATATATATATATATATAGAGGGAGCACCCAATTTGGTGTTCATGAAGTTTTGTGGACTTTTATTTTCCAAAAGTAAAACCTGACTTTCCACTTACAAATAGTTACAACTACTTTATATATATATATATATATATATTATATTTTGTTAATTTGGCACACAGTGTGTGCCTCACCTTCTAGTACGATGAAATGTAGTACTGCTACAGGTTGTTGAGATTTTAAGTGGAACACAAGTGATACTAGCATATTGAATGCAATTTGAGAAAACTAGTTTCAGAATTAAGGAAAAAATTAAATTATTATATTTTGCTTAAATATGCTTTGCAAGATAAACTCTTTGAGAGCAGAATTTTATTGTTGATTTTCAGAAAGGCTCGACAACTAAATGATTAAGTTACTTGATGGGCCAAAAAGAATCTGTATATGTGCTCTATTTGTGTTCATACTTAAGAACATTTGGTAATTTCTTACTTCGTATGTTTTAATATGCAGAGTATTTGAGGTCAATGGAAAAATAAACATTATTTTGCGATTTGATTGAATATGTTCTTGAAGTTGTTAAGTTGTGTCATGGGTGGACGTATCTTCATCATCATTTTCTAGTTTGATTGATTAAGTTGGCTGATTTAGTGGACTAAATACTTGATTTTTGTCTTTTTCTCAAAAGAGATCTGCGGTTGCACAAGTTGGTCTTATTTTGTTTGTGGGCAGGTTGTTAAGATGAGCACATAGATATTATTATTTTGGTTTAAGGACATGTTTATGTTGTTTTTTTATAAAGATCAAATGTATTAAACAATTAACATATTTTTTTATTTTTGTGGAAGCAATGCTTTCCCAGTGAAGCACCTTGTTGTCTATTCAGATGGTCAATTCACCATAATTTCTCTTTAGAAGCTTAAGCTGTCTCTTAATAGTTTACATAAGCCTTCACCAATAGAAGGCTCTTGAAAATGGTTCCACTAAACAGAAACATTTTTCAATTTGGTTATAGAAATTCTTGCCTCCCATGGACCAAATGCATGCAAAAACTCTGTTGTGTGGTGTCTTTTTGCTAAATTCTGTAATTCAGTTTTGTCTCTTTCTCTTTTATTTATTTTTTTCTTTCGTAATCAGCATTTGTCAGCTTATATTTTTCTACACATTGATGATGCATACAGGGGCCATGGTTTCAGCAAATCAGTATTTGTCCCTCAGACAGGTGTACTGTGTGACCAGGTATTTCGTTGACATTTTTGTCTTTGCTTTGCCATGTTTGAGTTACCATGTTCTTTTTTTGGTTCTTAAATACTTTCGATGAAGCTGTCTGGTACCTCAAGTCTCTCAAGGTTGAAGTGCAGAAAATTGGAGTTGGAAACCTGTAGAATTAAGCTTGAATCTTTGCTGCGGTAACAATGATTGAACCTCCTAGTTTACCATTAGTATAAGCTCATCCTCTTTCTCTCTCTCTCTCTCTCTCTCTCTCTGAGCAGGTTGGCTGTACAAAAGGTGATAATGCTGGTCTTTCAAATGCGCACATGATTATGGTAGAGATTCCAAATGCTTCGGAAGCGGTGGTATAGGTGCGTGACTTGGGGTGAAAAAATAAATTTCTAGCAGTATGGTGGTTCTTGCTTTATGTAGGAAGGGTAATATTTGATGTGTATTATTAATACTCTATTCAACTTTGGAAATTTGGAGACATTGATTAGAAAATCTAGACATGAATGCTTGATGCTTTGTGTCTGACCCAATGAATATGAAGGCATAATTATTTCTTGGCTAAACACAACTTTTAAGGTGGTAATTTGACCTAATGACAAATGTTATATGTCCTAATTTATGGTATTGATTTGAGTAGTGGAAATCATTATAACTTCTTCCCAACCCTATTGCCTTAGGCACTATTACTTTTTATTATTCAACTATTAATTTCACTTTTATCTTTAAATTATTCTCATTTTATTTTTTTGGATTGAACTTATTGGATTTTTTTCTTGAAGGATGTTGTATGGGGTACTATTATAGATGTGAGGGAATAGTAATCTTACATAAATATATGTCTATACAAAGTTTCATTCATTATTGCTATTTAACAGGTATATTTTTGAAGTTAAATCTCACAAAATTAGTAGTTCAAAAAAAAAAAAAAAAAAAACTATTAAAAAAAAAAAATCTATTGCGTTGTTTTTCAAAATGCCACTATAGTTATATTTTTAAAATAACAAAAAAGCTATTACGATTTTTTGAAGTGTCGCTAAAACGCCGCCTATACTAATTTTATGACGCTTTTAAAGCGTCATAAACTTACAGCGACGGCCACGTCCTCGGCTTTTGGTAGTAAGTGTCACTAAGGAATTAACGGCGTTTTTCAGACATATAGCGGCGTTTTTAAAATGCCGCTAAAAGTCATTTTTCCAGCAGTGTATAGCTCAAGCAACAAAATCTGAACCTAAGGCATGAGGGGGGAGGTTCTCTTTTATAGAGAACCAAAGTCCAAGCCTGTTGAGCAAGCTTAAGGCCTAAAGCCATCCCCCCATACACGTGTATGGAGGATGGTTTCTGTGCCCTCCAACTGTTACAGCTAGCCTAAAAATATCTCCAAGAGTGAGCTAGAAAGTCGGCCAGCTACTTCTACTGGTCGGCCGACCAGTGGAAGTGGTCGGCCAGGGTAAAAACTGGTCGGCCACAGGGGAGAGGTGGTCTGTACACTGAAAGCAAGGTGGTGGTGTGGTGGCCAACCAGAAAAGGTGGTCCAAAGACCAAGAAAACCAGTTAGTCGACCAGAAAACTGACTGGTAGGAAGAAAATTGGTCTCCAAGGGGAAAAACTGGTCTCCCACCTTTATACCACCTTCCAAACAAGGAAAACAAGGTTTGTACCAAAGACAAACCAAAAAGGATGCAAGACGAGAGATCAGGAGGCAAGGAGCGCTGCCGGGAGCCTCGAAAACTGTTCTACGGGCATCAAAAGTGGTCTACGACCACAGAGGTGCTCTCCCAGGCCACAGTGGCCCTCTAGCCAGAGGCAACAAGGCATGGTTCAAAAACCAAGCCAAACGGGGAATGTTAAGCGGTCTCGAGACAAGGTGCGCGGCCGAAGGCTTCGAAAATTGAAAACTACTCTCCAAGCGGGAAAAGTTGTCTACGACCGCAAAAAGTGGTCTACAACCACAAAAGGATGGTCTACAAGACCTCTCCCTCCCTCCAGGGAGGAGAAAAGAAGGTTCGGTCCACAGACCGAGCCAAAGCACAAAGAGTTCAGAGGCCCGGAGGCAAGGCTCTCAGCCAAAACTCCAAAAACTCGAAACGAGCTCAAACATGCATAATCACCGAGTGCTCAATCGATGACGTCTGAGTCTTAAGGTCGGTCAAAAATGGGGTGTCTACAGAGGTATAAAATGGAAACTATTTCAAGGTGCCATTTGTTACTTTCTTCAACTTTTTTTTTTTTTAGTAAAAAATTGGATTATGAATTTGATTTAGAAAGGTGAAAGGTTTTCTATGGTTTTGGTTTTTGTATGTGTAGGAAGGTTTGTCACCCTTGAACTTTTATATTGAGGAAGAATTCCATCATGCCACTTGTGATGGAGCTGGAGGTGTCAGATCCATTAACAATTATGCCCCGGTATATACATTATTTTGCCATTTGAATGTAAAACAGTTGATTAATTTCTTTGACATCTAAAAATTTTCTTGGAATTTTTTTCCTCATAAGCTTGTCTTAACAAATAAACTGTCACACACTGTGTGATAGAACACAAGTAATGCTTATGTTGGAGCTAGCAATTTCATGTTATAATAATGTTGAATGAACAAAAAAAATGCCACAAGATTATGGCATTCTGTCTTTTAGGCAATTTCCCTGCCCATTGACATACATTTTAAGAGGTCAAGCTGAGGTAGTCTAGTTTGTAACTCCCATTAATCTGGCTGATTCTTGTTTGTGCAATTGATGATTTTGGATCAAATGAAATGTTTGTAGGGTAAGTAGGATAAGACAATTAAGGGAATGTGAATTTTATGAATCTGGGTGTTAAAATGAGGGGAAAATGAAACATTGGTTCTTTTTATCTACTTGTTTACATACTATCACTTTTTTAGAGTAAATTATGTTAATTAATTTGTTTTTCCATTGAGGTTCTTGATAGATGGAGGCACATGATTATTGATAAGGGTTGGTTGGTTGGTTAAAACTACAAGAAGTGTAAAGCTTGTTGGCTGTATGTGGTTCAAGAGTGAGGTTGTGGCCTGTGAGGTTGATTACTACTATAAATATATATTTTTTCAGTTATATATTTATTGGGTGTATTGAAGTGTAATGCTTTGTTGTATCATTGCAGAGCCCACACTATGAGTTGGAGGCAAAGTTTTTTGAGGAGAGAGCAGCCGTTGAATTTAAATACCAGAGTACACTCCATATTATTATTTTTTATTAAAATGAGAAAATATTAGCAATTTTTATTTTTTATTTTTTTGTATTAAGTTAACATATTGTGATTTAAGGTTTTTGTTTTTGGTTATGGAAAATTGGAAAATGAATACTGGCTCACATTATGGTATATGTTTTGAAAATGGTGATGGATTATAGGTTGGTTTGTTTGTTTGTTTGTTTGTTTTTTTTTTTTTTTTTTTTTGCTGAGGAAAAAGGTTTGCTTTGAATAGAAGTTAAAAACATCATTAATTTTGATTTTTTTTTTAAAAAAAAGAGAAGGATAGGTGGTGTTTTTCATAAAAGCGTCGCAAAATGTCACCATGATTACGTCATAGTTAACTCCTCTGACGGAAATAGTCAACGGATGTTAAGATTTAGTGATGCTTTAAAAAACGTCGTCTAAACTCTATGGTGGCGTATTTAAAACGCCATAAAGATATGACGGCGGCTGTATCAGCGATGAATTTTTTAAACGTCACCATATATCTTTTTGCGGTGATTTTCTAACCTTTTGCGGCGTTTAAAAATGCTGCTAATTCGTGATTTTCCTACAGTGTGTATGGATACAATTTTCCCTAGAGAAAATATCTTATTCTCGAATCGTTTTGTTTTCAACTGATTTTTTTTTCTTTATTTTTTTATAATGTGTAGGGTATCTTAAGCCAGATGCACACCAGACTAAGTTGACTTGTTGGACCTTGAATGAGTGTGCACCATTGAACGCCACCAATTGCGAAGTGGACAGTCAGACTTGTCCAAATGTGATGCTTAGTGTGGCCGTCCAAGGGGTTGAGGGCGTGAGATTTAATTCATTTGTCAAGTCAATTTTTTTTTCTTTGTTATATTGGTCTCCTGACTTAATGAATACACCGGTATGTATATATGTGAAGATAATTGAGACGCACAAATTGAACAGTACTGCAACATCGTGGTGGAGTGTGAGTTAATTCTATGTACTTTTTTGAAATGATTATTTGATAAATACTTGAGACATCTAATTTATTACCTCTAGAAATTACCCTCAATGTGTTTGATAAGTGACAAATTTTGATTTATTAAACATTTTATCATGTAAGATATAACCTGAAAAATTATTGGTTGCTCCAGGGACACCACATGGTTATGCCCCTAGCCAATCACAAATCACCATGTCCTCTCATGTACTCAAATTACCTAACACAAAATCGTGCATCTCACTCCCTTTACCAATCACAATGTATGTGGGGCGCCACATAGCTCTGCTCTTGGACCAATCAATAACCTTTCATCTAACCTCAATGCCACATTATTATGGCTGGTTTAGTTAATGCTGTGTATTTTTTGAACAAAATATTGAGAGGATTTATAAATGAGAAGGCAGACTTCTTGTGAGAATCATCGAGAACACGTTTTGTACTCCTTTTTTTTTTTGTTGTTCTCTCTTTTTGTGATAAATCCAAAAACCGAGTTCAAGGGTCGATTTATTTTGGGCCGTCAAATCTATGCTCAATGATTCAACGGCTCAAATCATGATTTCAACAATCAGGAAGGTTCATATAGTAGTCTGCAGTCGACACAATAATTGTTGGGTTGACTCCCTGCACTATGCCTGGGGTCAAGATCAACGGTCCACAACAACAATATTTTTTAAAAGCCTCTTGAGCTTTGATCTGAGGATGGCATACATGCTCTCATTATTTTAGAGCTACAAAATCCCAATCATTATTATTAATAGCATAACGTCTGCTGTTCATTGTGCTGTATTCGTAATAGCAGTGTCAGTACGCATAGTAGCTATTGTTCTTATTACAGCGCCAGCATCTGCGAAAGCATCACCATTTTCACCTCTGTCAATAGAGGCGAAAGTTCTACTCGATAGTGGTTGGTGGGGAAACTTTGCGTCAGCAAATCACTACGAGTTGATGGGCGTCACCTGCAATGAGGTAGGAAGCATCACTCGGATTGACTTTTCTTCTTCCTATTCTCTCCCCAGAAAGCTTGAAAACATGAATTGGGCTTCCTTACCAAACCTTGAATATCTCAATCTCAGCAATTGTTTCTCAACTGGAAGCGTAAGCATACCTGATGAAATCGGTACTCTGTCAAAGCTCATGTACCTTGATCTCTCTTACAAC